CTGCCCTGAGTCCCATCACTTCAAACAAATCTCTATTTTGTTTTTAAGAACATTGGGGAAATAGAATTTAAATAAACAACTGTGCTATTTAATCTGCACCTCACGCACCCTTTACTGTTTTACTGCTCTTCTTATTTTTTTCTATATACTCTCTATCTAAACTGAGATGGGTTAGAGTTACTGGTCTGATATAGCAGGGCAAGGCTAAAGGCACATGGCATCCTGATATCAGCAAGGCTTTTGGCAATGCCTCTCGTTATAGTCTTAGAAGTAAGATGGAGAAATATGTATGGGCTAGATGATAGCACATTTCAGGGCATTCACAGTAAGTCATCTCCAATCAATATTCAACACGTCACTCAGCATTGGTTTAGCAAATATTTATTGGGTACCTATGATGGACTAAGCACTGCTCTAGGTTCTATGAATATAGGTGTGAATTTCGATTTTTTTGTAGAGGTCCCTGAGAAGCAAATAGAGGTTTTAAAGCAGGGATACAAACACACACAAATTATATATATAAAAATATATATGTATAAATATGTAAACTGTATGTAATTTAAAAAGAGATAACCCTAGTCTTGAATGGAGAATAGATTTTATCCTCACCAACAGATGATATTGCAATACAAAAATAATTTTGAGGGGCCAGCCTGGTGGCATAGTGGTTAAGTTTGGTACGCTCTGCTTCTGTGGCCTGGGGTTCAGGGGTTCGGATCCTGGTGTGGACCCACACCACTCATCAAGCCATGCTGTGGTCGTGACCCACATACAAAATAGAGGAAGATTGGCACAGATGTTAGCTCAAGGCCAATATGCCTCAGGCAAAAAGAGGAAGATTGGCAATAGGTGTTAGCTCAGGGCCAATATTCCTTGCCAAAAAAAAAGTAATAATAATTTTGAAATGTCACAGGGGAAACATGTTATATCATCATATATAATGACATGCAAAAATATATTAATTAATAGATTATTTTTTAGGGTAGTTTTAGGTTTGCAGAAAAATTGAGCAGAAAATACAGAGTTCCCATAATACTCCTCCCACCCCCAAAGATTCCCCCATTATTAAATTTTGCATTAGTGTGATACATTTGTTACAACTGATGAACCAGTATTGATATGTCATTTTAACTGAAGTCCCTAGTTTATATTAGAGTTCATTCTGTGTTGTACATTCTATAGGTTTGGATATACGTTTATTTGTATCCACCGTGTTTCACGGTGTTATGTATCATCCTTTATCACCATATCATGTCTCCACCATTAGAGTATCATACAGAATAGTTTCGTTGCCCTAAAAATCCTCTGTGCTGTACCTACTCATCCTCCTCTCCCCCAGAAACCTGGCAACCACTGATCTTTTTATTGTCTCTGTAGTTTGCCTTTTTTCAGAATGTCATAGAGTGGGAATCATACAGTATGTGGTATTTTCTGACTGGCTTCTTTCACTTAGCAATATGCATTTAAAGTTCATCCATGTCTTTTCATGGGTTCATTTCATTATCTCTGAATATTATTCCATTGTAGGCATGTTCTCCAGTTTGCTTATCCAATCACCTATTGAAAGACATCTTGGTTGCTTCCTAGTTTGGGTAATTATGATAGAACTGTCAGAAACATTCAAATGCAGATTTTGTATGGCTGTAATTTTGAACTCATTTGGGTAAATACTAAGGAAATGATTGCTGGATAAGTGAATGATTGTAAGATAAGTTTAGTTTTGTAGGAACCTGCTAAACGGCCTCCCAATATGGCTGTACCACTTTGCATTCCCACTAGCAATGAATGAGAGTTCTGTTGCCCCACATCCTCACAAACATTGGTGCTGTCTTTGTTTTGGATTTTGGCCATTCTAATAGGTGTGGCATTGCTGTTTTAGTTTGCAATTACCTGCTGACATATGATGTCGAGCATCTTTTCGCATGCTTATTTGCTGTCTATATCTTCTTTGGTAAGGTGTCTACTCAGATCTTTTGCCCGTTTTTTAATTGGGTCTTTTGTTTTCTTACTGTTCAGTTTTGAGAGCTCTTTGTACATTTTGTATATAAGTTCTTGATCAGTGTTTTGTAAATATTTTTTCCTCGTCTGTGGCTTGTCTTTTCATTCTTTTAACACTGTCTTTTGTAGAGCAGAAGTTTTTGATTTTAATGAAGTCTGATTTATCGACTCTTCTTTCATGGATTTTGCTTTTGGTGTTGAATCTAAAAACTCATTGCCAAACCCAAGGTCACCTAGATTTTCTCTTGTTTTATCTTATAAGAATTTTATAGTTTTACATTTTACATTTAAGTCTGTGGTCTGGTTTGTTTGTTTTTTTTTCAGGAAGATTAGCCCTGAGCTAACATCTGCTGCCAATCCTCCTCTTTTTGCTGAGGAAGACTGGCCCTGAGCTAACATCCATGCCCATCCTCCTCTACTTTATATGCGGGACACCTGCCGCAGCATGGTTTGACCAGCTGCACATAGGTCCATACCCAGGATCCAAACCAGCGAACCCTGTGGGCCGCCGAAGCTGAACGTGCGAACTTAACCACTGTGCCACGAGGCTGGCCCCTGTGATCTGCTTTGAGCTAATTTTTGTGAAAGGTGTAAGATCTGTGTTGTTTTTTTTCTGTCTTTTTTTTTTTTGCATGTGGATGTCTAGTTGTTCTAGCACCATTTGTTGAAAAGACTGTCCTTTCTCCATTTAATTGCCTTTGCTCCTGTGTCAAGGATCAGTTGATCACACTTGTATGGGTCTATTTCTGGGATCTTTATTTTGGGCCATTGATCTATTTGTCTATTCTTTTGCCAATACCACATCACTATCGCTTTATAACAAGAATTAAAGTCAGATAGTGTCAGTCCTCCGAATTTGTTCTTCTTCAATATTATGTTGGCTATTCTGGGTCTTTGGCTTCTCCATATAAACTTTAGAATCAATTTGTTGATAGCCACAAAATAACTTACTGGGATTTCTATTAGGATTGAGTTGGATCTGAAGACCAAATTGGAAAGAACTGATATCTTGACAGTACTGAGTCTTTTTATCCATGAGCATGGACTACCTCTCCATTTATTTAGATCTTCTTTGATTTCTTATATCAGAGTTTTGCAGTTTTTGTCATATAGATCTTGTACATATTTATTCAGATTTATACTTAAGTATTTCTTTTTCTTTTTTTTTTGTTGCTAATGTAAATGGTGTGTTTTAAATGCAAATTCCAATTGTACATTGCTGGTACATAGGAAAGCGATTACTTTGGTATATTAACCTGTTTCTTGCAACCTGCTATAATCATTTATTAGTTCCAGAAGGTTTTTGTCAATTCTCTGGAATTTTCTGCACAATCATGTTATTTGTGAACAAAGACAGTTTCATTTCTTCCTTCCCAATCTATATACTATTTATTTCCTTTTTTTTGCAAAAATATTGTTGCATTAATTAGGACTTCTAGTACAGTGTTGAAAAGGAGTGATGAGAGGGGACATCGTTGCCTTATTCCTAATCTTAGGGGTAAAACCTCTAGTTTCCATGAAGTATGATGCTGGGTGTAGGTATTTTTATAGATATTCTTCATCAAGTTGAGGAAATTTCCCTCCTTTCCTGGTTTGCTGAGGTTTCATTTGTTTGTTTAATCATGAATGAGTATTGGATTTTTTCAAATGCTTTTTCTACATTTATCAATATAATCATATGATTTTTCTCTTTAGCCTATTGATGTGATGAATTACATTAATTGATTGTCAAATTTTGAACCAATCTCATATACCTGGAATAAATCCCGCTTCCTCATGGTGTATAATTCTTTTTATACATTGCTGGATCTGACTTGCTAATATTTTGTTGAGAATTTTTGCCTCTATGTTTATGAGAGACATTGGTCTGTAGTTTCCTTTCTTTGATGTTTTTGTCTGGCTTTGCTGTTAGGGTAGTGCTGGACTCCTACGATGAGTTAGGAAGGACTTCTTCACTTTCTATTTCTGGAAGAGATTTCAGAGAATTGGTATCATTTCTTCCTTGAATGTCTGGTAGAATTCACCAGTGGACCCATTCGGACCTGCTTCTCTCAGTTTTGGAAGACTATTAATTACTGAGTCAATTTCTACAATGGATATAGGCTTATTCAGATTATTTCTTTTTGGTATGAGTTTTGCAGATTGTGTCTTTTGAAGAAATAGTCCATTTCTTCTAAGTTATCTTATTTGTGGGCAAAGAGTTGTTCATAATATTTTTTACTGTTCTTTTAATGTCCGTGGGATCAGTAGTGATGGCCTTTCTTTCATTTCTTATATTAGTAATTATGTCTTCTCTCTTTTTTGTATATCATTACATTTTAATAAGCAGTTTTTATTATAAGTGAGGGCAGATATGTTTCCACATAGCCAGTTTATTTCTTTTATAAGCTGCCAATTTGTGTACTTTGCCTGTTTTTCCATTTTATTTAAGGCTTATTATATATTACATATGTTAATCTTTGCTCTATCATACATGTGCAAATGTTTTTCTTCCAGCTTATTGTTTTCCTTTTAATTTTGTGTTTGTATTTTTTCGTACATAAGCTTTAGATAAAGTCTTTCAGCATGTTTTTCATTGTTTCTTCCTTTGCTACTGCACTAAATAACAGCTAATATTCACTGATTATTTACTGTGTCAGACATTATATAAAGTGATTTATGTATGTCATCTAAGTTAAACTTCAAACAGTCCTTGTGGTAGGTACTATTATCTCCATTTTATATGTGAGAAAACTGAGGCACAAATAGGTGAGCATCTTGTTTCTGGTGGGCACAGAGCCAAGATTTGAAGCTCGGTGCTGTACTGCCAGAGGCTTAGCTCCTGAGCTCTACTGCCTCCTAGCAAAGTACTCCCACTTGAAGATGGTATGATTTACCTACTTTTTTTATGGTTTTCATATGTTTTTCATTATTGTCTGTTTGTTTTTTGTGGTGAGGAAGATTGGCCCTGAGCTAACATCTATTGCCAATCTTCCTCTTTTTCCTTGAGGAAGATTGTTACTGAGCTAACATCTGTGCCAATCTTCCTCCACTTTGTGTGTGGGAAGCCACCACAGCATGGCTTGACAAGTGGTGCGCAGGTCCGCATGCAGGATGCCAACCATCGAACTCTGGGCCACCAAAGCAGAGCACATGAACTTAACCACTACACCACTGGGCCAGCCCCTGGTTTTCATATTTTTAAAAAGAATGCTCATAAACACTCTACTTAGAAAATGTCAAGATTTTCAAATTTCATAACATAGAGCTATATATCATAGCCCTTGCAAATTTCAAAGAATTCATTTATTTTGGAATCAGAATTGATACATGACCTAGTTTGATGGATCTTGTGGAAAATTGGGCTGCTAGAATATTGGAAGGTGTGGAAAGAATTGTAATAGAGACAAAGAAAACTCAGCAACATTTTTTAAAGGCAGTTGTTAACTGCAGGAAAAGAACAAATGGTAAAAATACTGTTGTCATGGTGCACTCAACATTAAGTTGCGCATACTATTTGCATGGACATAATAAAGTGAAAAATGAATATTTAACTACACAAAAAAAGTGAATGAAAGGTGAGGAAATGGAAAACGGAAAAAGTTGGAACAGACAACTCTGATGGACTCAGGTGTGACTTTCTTGGATCTTCCTCACTTGCCTCAGTAGCTGATATTAAACGTCCTGGGACTGCTTGAGCATCTGTGTCTTTCCGGCTCTCACTGCAGCGTATTACTCACGGGAGCGTCACCTTCTATAACGTAACACCCGCCCCTCCTCTGCTCTTCTATCAGGTAGGTTTTTGGGAATTGCTGCCGCTACATGAATTTAGAAAGTCAGAGGAGGAAAAAGGGAGAGACTTACAGCCACCAATTGATAGATGGAATTGAATTGTAAACATAATGAATATGGAGAGAGATGGTTTCATTTTCTCATAATCCCCATTTTCTCCCCTGAGACGTAACTCTAACTTTTAGAAATGTTCCTCAAGACGAATTCCCAAAGACTTAAAATGGGTTTCCTTTTCTCTCATACAAGAACACGTTTCTTCATTTAAAGAGTTGATTATATAATGCTAATAGATAATTCACGATACTCAAAAGGAATACAATAACTTTCAATGGAATTCCAAAACAGAATAAATGGCCGGTGTTCCTTTTGAAGAGAACAGTTTCATTCAGTATCTGATTTTGTCACATCGCACGTTTCCCTGCCTCGTTGAAACTCTGGCCGTAAACTGCCGCTTTTCCATCTAAGGAACATCTGTTCTTTAAATAGTAGAAGGAACTCCTACCAGTGTGACCTTTCTTCTTGGCAGGTCACCTGAGAATATTAACTAGAGTGCTTTGTTCCACGGTTTCCAGAAGAACAGGAGACCTTACTATTTGGAGAAGCTTCATTGTTGAAACAGTTTGAGCAGTCTGCCAAAAATGACTGACTTCCTTTGGTCTGCAGAAGTTTCTCTTGTGTTTGCAATAAGTGGATATCAAAGGGACATTTATGGGTCTAAACTAGTTCCAGTACTTGTAAAGAGACCCACTCCTGAGCCAAGGCAGGCGGTGGGGAGACAGATCTGTTTCAGGAGCATGTGAGGAAGTTAACTGAAGGATGCTTGCAGCAAAGGGCAAGCAGCCAGTACTACAGGGAGGTCTTAACACAATGGGACCAAGTGACCCTACAGGTGGCGGAGCATAGGAAAAACGCATCAAGAGCACATGATATTTATTCAAGTCAAGACAGGTAGGCAGGAAGCCAGGAATGCAGCTTAGGGAGGACAAGAGCAAGGAAAGCCCCACCTCTGGAGAGACTAAGCAACGAAATGAGTTAAAAACAGCATCTCAGGAAAATAAGGACAGTTAGCAAATTGGAGCTGAAACGGCAGACTCTGAAATAAACTACTGAAATGCAATCAACAAACGAGGTTAGAATCGTGGAGACTATCTGGTTGCCTCACCTGATTTATAGGACTAGAACAGTGGCTGATCCTCATACTGGAATTTATGTCACAGGGGCAAAATGAAATTCTAACATCCCAGAGAACCATGATTTAAGCTACTTAGGGCTAAGTGCCTGCAAGTATGTCTTGGTCTCTAAGGGAGATTACTGTATAAGAAATGCTTGTAGTTTGTAAAAGACATCCATAATTTTTAATCTTTTTGTTTTGGAGGTCAGCTGAAATTCCAAATCTTCAACCCTAGCTATTGTAGTGATCCAGGTGGGTGAAGGTGGTAATTTGAATTACGGTGGTGATCAGCAGATGGGGTTGAGGTGATGGACGAAAGGATGACTGGTGTGGAGTGGGGGAGCAGGCAGGAATCTCGAGCAGGGAATCATTGTAGAGAAAGGTTCCCTTGTGTTAAAGGATAAGCTGAGGGGCCGGCCCCGAGGCTGAGTGTTAGGTTCATGAGCTCCGCTTCCCGAGGTTTCGTGGGTTCAGATCCTGGGCCTGGACATGGCACCACTCATTAAGCCATGCTGAGGTGGTGTCCCACATGCCACAACTAGAAGGACCCACAACTAAAAATATACAACTATGTACTGGGGGGCTTTGGGGAGAAGAAGGAAAAAAAAAAAAAGGAAGATTGGCAATATATGTTAGCTTAGGTGCCAATCATTAAAAAAAAGATAAGCTGAGGCATGTTACAATTTTTAATAGTTTATTTGAGCAAAAACAATTCAAATCAGGCAGCGGCCAAATCGAAAGTGGTTAGGAATGCTCCAACAGGAGCTCCGGGAGACACTTTGATGGGGAGAAGGCGGAAGCACAGTAAGGAAGTTACTGATTGGCTGTAGCTTAGAGCCTGGTTGGCTGTTGGTGATTGCTTGTCCTTAGGTTTCGGTTTGGTAACCTTGAGGCATTTACAGGCTTAAATTTGGGTTTGCTTACATAAGCCACCATGGCATTAGAGTCTATTGGTCTACCTGTTTAGTTAATTTAACACTGGCTTCTGGATTGGCTTGGACAATTGAGTGGACACTGATGTCAGCACAGAGTAGGGGCAGTCTCATGCCCAGATTCAAAACCTAACTCCACTTTTTACTTCCTGTGTGAACTTGAGCAAATTACTTAACCTCTCTGAGTCTTAATCTGTAGAAGCAAGAAACGTTCTACTTACAAAGTTGTGGTGAGGACTAAATGAGAGTTCGTACAACTAACTTGGCACATACATTGAGTGTCTACTAATTGCCAAGCCCTGAATTCAAGGTGCTCTCAGTCTGCTGGGAAAACATACAAAAACAATTAACGCACTACACAGGGAGAAGCGCTAAAATGGCACTGTGTGTAGAGTGCCAGAGGAGCCCAGAAGCGTGCACTCTGCTTACAGACATGGGGAGAGAGAAAGGGACATTTGAGCTAGTCTGGAAGGAATACACTTTCACCAAAACGTGCTTCCCCTGTGATCGTGGACAAATTAATCTCTGTGAGCCTCGGTTGCCTCAGTTGGAGATAATGATAGTACCCATCTCAAGGAGTGATTGTGAGGGTAAAATGAAATACTGTATGAAAAGTACTCAGCACAGGGCCCGGTGCACAGCAAGTACTCCATCCATGTCAGCATTTTTACGAACATTATTACTATGGAGAACTCTGGGAGTCACTGAGCTCTGATGGACTCAATGACGTATCCAGGTCATAGCTAGTGAGCAGCAAAGCCTAGACTAGGAACCAAACCGTCAATGTAATGCTCACCATGAGAGCAGAGCTCCGGACTCATCTGAGCCTACCTTATTCTAAAGAGAAAGCTGGAGCCTTTTGTGTAACTCAGAGACTCCAGCAACTGTTCCCAAAGGAAAGTTTTGAAGGAGATCTTTTAGCATTTGAATGGCTCGTATCTAAAAGGATAACCCACTTTGGCAGGTAATCAGTCTGCAGAATATATAAGTTCACTTTTTCTTATTGGACATCTTTGGGTTTTTTTCCAGGCTACATATTTCTCTTACTTGAGCCCTCTAAACACACTGTTCTCTGCAGCCTATTTGACTTTCATATCAAAGGAAAATGAAAGCAAAAAGAATAGGTTCTACTTGTAATCAACATCCATTGACTGTCTATTGTGATTTAGAAGCTCTTGGCGGGCACTGTGGAAAGAGGCCAAGAATATAAAGCCCAGGACTCCATCCTCACTTGAGATAGTTACCATTTGGTTTAAGGAAACCAGATCTATATGCAATGAGAAAACAATAATTCTAGAATAATGTACAGTCATCCCTTGGTGTCAGGAGGGCATTGGTCCTGGGACCCTCCCCTACAGATACCAAAAATGAGGATGCTCCAGTTTGTCGTATAAAATGGCATAGCATTTGCATACAACCTACGTGCATCCTCCCGTATACTTTAAATCATCTCTAGATCACTCATAATACCTAATACAATGTAAATGCTATGTAAATAGTTCTTATATGGTATAGTTTAGAGAATAATGACCTAAACATCTGTACAGACACAACCATCGTAGGCATTTCGATCCACGGTTGGTTGAATCTGAGGATGTGGACTGCGCAGATACCGAAGGTGGACTGTGTAGATATTCTGTGCTGAGGCGGGTAGATTGAACATATTCACTCAGAAGACGCAGAGTAAACTCGTGTTCTATTGTGCAGGAGCTAATGAGGATGTACGGAGATAAATCAATCATCTCTTTGGCAGGTGCTGTGCTGGGTGCTCCTTGTTGTGTCTGGATGAGTCTGAGTCAACTCCAGAAAATGGTAATGGACGTGGATTGGCAAAGAGAAAGGCAGGCAGAGGTTCTCATTAGAATCATCTGACACTAAAAAATATTAATAAATACCTGACCCTAGGCCCCCTCACCTGACACTGCTTGAGTTCCCCTGGGGCCAGGAGCCCAGGCAGCCACACTTTATGAAAGCTCCTAGGTGATTCTCCTGTGTGACCGAGGCTGAGAGCCTCTGCTTTAGGGCAAAGACCTGATGACAAATATTTGCAAGTGTGTGTGGAGAGCTACAGGCCTGTGGTGAATATTTCTTCTTCCTAATTACAGTGGAAACATGGCTTCTTCCAGTTTGCCAAGGGTGAGAGTAGAGTGAATGCGCTCCACTGTGATCACGCTATCTGCTTGGGGAAGATCGAGGTGAGCATCCGGGAGTAGTGGTCCTCTGAGATGCGAAGGATTGCCGGATGGCAATAACAGGGTACAGAATTAGGAAGGAACCTGGGGATTTCAAGCAAAAACTGTGTGTCTCTGAGGATGGATTTAATTAAATTTACGGCATTGTGAAGCTGACAGAAGATAAAAGGGTGAAGAGAGTCTGAAAACGCAGCTCTAGGCTTTGAAGTCAGCTGGGTGCTGTTGGTAAACATTGCTCAAATTCAGTCTCAGCTCCCTTGTTTGCAAATAGGCATCCTCTGAGCCGCCACCGTGCATGTTTGTTGTGAAGATGAACTGCCATGCCTGTCACGTCGACAGCAATGAGCGTTAGTTACTACTCCTGTTGTTTGAAATGTATGAAGCTCTGTGTGAAGGGAGCTGCACCCCAGACTCAGGATTTGGGTGGCTGCCTATAAAGCAGTTTCCCTTGGAAACTGGTATTGGCATAAAGGACCTTCTGTTCCCAGGGCAAAGGGAGACGAGAGAAATCACTTCACCCTGAGCCTGCAGGGAGCTGGAAGGAAGAAAGGCCAAGTAGAGGGAGCCAGAGCAAGGGTGTGGAGGCCTCAGGCTCAGGGACCAGGCCAAGGAGGAAGTGGATCCAAACAGGTGGAACTGGCGTCAGATCTGCACCCATTTTGGAGACTGAGAGCCAGAAAATGGGGCCACACTGGGCAGGGCTTTCACTGTGTCTTTTAGTGAACCAGCTCGAATCCTAGAAAAGGACAGGCTGGAGAGACAGCATGAAAGATCATTGAATTTCACCAGTCTAAGTTTTTTTACTTTTTGCATGATAATTCCAACTCGGGATTACATGAACTCATAATGCATGTGAAAGTATTTTCTAGATAACAAAACACTATGTGAATAAAGTCTGATTTTTTTTTTCTGTGTAGAGTTTATACCTAGAGATCCCCTCAAATGATACTGACCTTGTTTGCTCTCTTCTGGCAGGTTTCTGAGCACACTGCATTGAAGCAGGTGTGTGGCTTGTGGGGAGGAGGATAAGAATGGCCAAGAAGGGCCAGGCGGGGCTGGAGGAACTGGCCCAAGGGTCTCTTCTGTGGATCCCAGGCCTGGAGTAGCAGAAAGTTATGCCGAGGGCTCGCCAAACATCTCGGGGGCCTTCTGTTCAGAAATTTCAAGGACACCCATTTTGTCATAGGGCTGGTTGAAGTGAAAATACCAAGCTGGAGAGAAGCAAAAGATGGGATTGAAGAGTTTGGCTCATAGTCCATGCTCATTAATTGTTTGTTGAAATGAAGACAAAATGTGGGATGGCAATGTAGCATAAAAGGAAGAGACAGCCTAGCAAATAAGTCCATGGTGTTCGGATTTGATGTTACTGGCAGCTGAAAGCCCTATGTAGCCTTGAGTGGCATTTAAGGATCTGTAAAGTACTGAAAATTGAAGAAATAAATGTGTGTTCAAGGTCATTCATCCATTAAATGGACTTTAAAGAAGAATATTTTCATCATGAGAATAACGGTTGCTATAACAACGTATTTAAACAAGATTATGGATTCTTCTTTTCTGAATAGGGTTGCACCTTCTGGTTGAGCAGGTTGTTCACAGCACAAGAATGGACAATAGAGTTGGTCCTGAAATCAGTCTGCTTTCTGCCCACCAAGCCGTGTACCCTGGTGTGGGGCTGCATCTGCCCAGAAGGATCGCCTTTTCCCCGTTCCCACAAAAGCACCCCATGGAGTAGTGGCGGGCCATCTCTGAAGGTCTGAAAGCACGATGCATGCTGTTCTGCTTAGATAACTTCTTAAAGTAACTTTCAGACACTGGGGTAGGAAATCAATGACGTGAGCAATAAAGTGGGAGAAAAAAGAGAAGATAAAAATGATCAAGATATAAGATAGAGGAAATTAAAAAACCCAGCAAAGCAAGGTGAGTCATGAAGAAGGAACAGTAGGAGATCCTGTGATGGGTGGAGGTTCCCCCCACATCTTTCTGGTATTGTCAGCAAACATGGAGAACAGTTCACAGTGACCTACTAAATGGCAGAAATGAAAACAGGACAAAATGCAATGCAGAGGCATTTTGTAATAAGAAGCAACATGACTCTGGTACCTAAATCCAGCAGTTGTATAACCAGGGCTAGAGAAAGTCCACTTTACCAGCAATAAGTCTGTTTGTAGGGAGAACACAGAACATGAGCATGTGTCTGACAGTCCTCTGCACTTCTTTCCCTTTACAGACTCCCTTCCTCCTCCGCCAGCCCCGGCACCACAGTGAAACAGGATGGCTGCGGTTTATGGTTCACATTTCAACCTGGATGGTGGGAGTTTCCATGTTATGTTCATAGCTGCAAATCTCTGCCACTCTCAGTGCTGACTGCTAACTGTTCAGGTGCACATGCAGAGAAGGAAGTCTCTGCCACTCTCAGTGCTCACTGCTAACTGTTCAGGTGCACATTCAGAGAAGGAAGTCTCTGCCACTCTCAGTGCTGACCGCTACCTGTTCAGGTACACATTCAGAGAAGGAAGCCCTCAACTCTGAGAAGCAGTTTGGTCCTGAAACTACCTAAGAAATGGCTCAAGTTTCTTTCAATTTCTAAAGAAAGCAGAATTTGTATTAGAAACGGAGATCACAACACCTAAGCATAGAACTTGGTAGAAAAGAATCAGATTAGTGCAAAGGATATTTGCCTTGTGACTATACCCCGCGCTTTTCCATAGACAGGGAAGACCTGTGGCCAACACCCTTCCTGGATTCTTGTCGCTCTGAGGCTTCTGTGTGGGACATCACTGATCCCTCTGAGCACCACCTGAGGAATATAGAATGATCTGTTTCCTTCGGGATTAGCTTTTAATAATTTCTTTATTCATCCAACATTTAATAGTCTCCCAACTGTGTTAGATGCTGAGAACACAAAGATAACTAAGGCATAGTTACTGCCTCCAAGGCCCTTAGTAAGGGGAGATAGACATGTAATTTAATAAATGCCACAAAATGCCTTGGTGCTCTGACAGATGTATGTCTGGGGAACAGAGGGGACACCAAGAAGGAGGAGGTGCCCTCAGGCAGGGCAAACTGTGAGAATAAAGCAGCTATGAGTCAAAAGGCTTGGTGTGGTCAGGAAGATGCAGGTAGACCAGTTGGCCAATTAAAACCCTGTTCACGGAGCAGGTGGGATAAAGGATGGATCCAGTTGGAAGAGGTAGCAGACAGGGCCTGGCTGGCGTGTATAGGAAGACTCCAGCGGAAGTGTAATTTTCCTCTAACTTGTAAAGCCACAGTCTTTACAAGACGTGACCTCCATACGGTGAGTCTGTGGCTCCCAGATATGCCTTCAATGAAGCCAATTTAATTTTAAGAGGAATTCCAGAAAATGTAGAGTTGGGGGTTGCCTGGGAGATAGGATGCTCAGACAGCTGCTCTTTCTGTCACCTCTGGTCCTCAGAGCTGACTTCATGAACATGTTTAGTCTCTGTCTTAGCTGTGAAAAAAGATATTTAACAACATTGATAAGTTTACTGTTGGGTGCTGTTTAAGTGTCACTGAATGAAGGGTAAAAACACGTCCTACTATATGTTGCTGCCTACAGTTAAAATAACATCCCTGTTTCTCTCTCTTTTCCCCTCATTCTGGGTTAATAGTTCCCTTGGAGTAGGGATGGGGATTTTCATTGTACCAGATCATTTCACCTGCCTATTCTCCTCCCTGAGATTTCCAGTCTCCCGACACTTGGTTTTCTCTAAACTTACCATCCTTCTCTTGGTGGCAGATGAGACCCTATGGCCTCTCCCTGTGAACACTGCCTTCAGATGTCCTGGCCTTTCTAACTTTTTATCCTGGAACCACCTACCTGGTTCCTTTACCTAAATTTCTGAGTGCTTCTGGAGAATGTGAAGATCTGTTTTGAGATGAATCTCAAACACTGCTAAATAGAGCAGCATTGCTAACTTGCTGCCCTCAGAGCAACAAAACAGTCCATTTTCACATATGATGATCATTACCTGTTGTCACCCTGGGGCCATTTCCCTTCTCCCAATGTGATCAGGTGATGGGGAGAGGGCCCTTGACCATAGGGAGAGTAGTCCCTACCCCGGGCCCAAGGATGGATCAGGATAGGTCTAAACTCGTCAGGGAAATCTCCTTCCCCTTGGCCGTTGATTGTTCTAAGTTTGGGCATCTGACCCAGTTCTGGCCAATGGGATATAAGGGGAAATCTGGAAACCTCCCAAGACAAGGCTTCGTGCTGAAGAGGCCTGTGTTCATTTCCCAAAGCTACCATAACAAAATGCCACAAACTGGGTGGCTTAAACAACATCCTCTTATTCCCTCACGGTTCTGGAGGTTGTGCCTGAAATCAAGGCGTTGGCAGTCCACCCTCCCTCCAAAGACCCTGAGGAAGAATCTTTGCTTGCCTCCTCCTTGCCTCTGATGCTTGCCAGCAATCCTGACGTTCCTTGGCTTGCAGCTTCATCACTCCAATTCCTGCCTCCATCTTCTCACGGCCCTCTTCCCTCTGTATGTTCTCTGTGTCTTCACGTGGGGTTCCTCTCTCTGTGTCTGTCTCTACTTTCTCTTCTTGTAATCTTCTTGATTAGATTAGGGCCCACCCTAATTCAGTATGACCTCATCTTGTCTAACTACAACTGCAAAGACCCGATTTCCAAATGTGGTCACATTTACAGGTGCCTGGGGTTAGGACTTCATCATACCTTTGGGGGGACACAATTCAACCCACAACAAGGCCTTTTGCCCTTTTTCTTTTATCTTCCTGGGAGTACAGCAGTCATCTTAAGACCATGGGGATACAAGCATGAGGAAAAAGTCTACAGGCTAAAGATGGTGGAAAGGAAAGCTAGGCAAAGAGTGGGTGTCTGATCGCATGACAGCCAGTGAACCACTGCCGGCAACCACTAACCTCTAGGCCTCTTGATATCTAAGAAAATGAGCCTGAGCTACTAAGCCACTGCCAGATTTCCTATCGCTTGTGGCCAAAGACATCCTAGTGGTTACACCAAAACTTCTCTGGTTAATAACAAAATTAGAAAGACAAGTAAGGTAATAAGATTTTCACAGATCTGAATTTAAAGGGCCATTTTTTATTCAGAAATTCTCACTTTTTTGCTATTGAAATATTGTTTCTTTTATGAAATGATGGTGACTGTAGATTGTCATTTGTTTTTTTTAGCACCTCTGCATGGCAAAGGAAGAAAGGAAGGAAGGAAAGAAGGAAGGTGGAGAAGATTTTAGAAGGTTAGTCTTTCTCTCATTTTCAAAAATTCTTTTTTTAGCTTGTGAAATCCAAAAGTCTGTGATGAGAAGAATGCTGGCTGAACTTGCCCTGAAGGCCTGGAACCAGTGGTGTGCTGGAGCCCCTGGCACTGGCTTGTGAGAGCCCATGGTGAAGTTTCCAGGAACTGGCTTGCCATCACCTTGGTAGCTTGAAATCCAATATGGTGAGAGTATTTACATCAGGGAAATCTACAAATGCTATAAATAAAGCCCCCTCCCCGCAGCTGGCTGTTCAGCACACCACTGGCCAGAACCTGCCTCTTGCAAGTGTCCAGGGGTAAGCATGCGAGGGACAGCTCACACCAACTAAAACACGGAAGATTGAGGCAGACTTCATTTACTAGCTTAAAATTTTACATTGGGAAATATTCTCCCTCATTGCTTAACTATCCGACAGTCCGTTTCCCTCAGCTCTGCTTTGGCAGGAACCATGTCTCTTCTATCCACGCAGTGTCCCCACTGCCTGTCACAGCACGGAGTGGGCTCAGGGGCCCTGGTTTTCCTAGGAGTCATTATCAGAGATTCCATAGCCCTCAGAAAGCTTAGGGGGACAAAAGGTGTCATAACAGAATATTCACAGTAAGGGAAGTCTGTAGACGGGTGAGCCTCTGACCTCAGGGGGTGGCTGAGGGAGAATACGCAAGTAACCAAAGAATCGTGTAATTTCACACAGTGAAAATCACCTAGATGTGAGTTTTAAACAAACCTCGTTAATATGTTCAGTAAAACACTGGTTCAATGGGTGGTTTATAAGCGTTCAAATTTATTTTAAATGGTTCTGTAGCCGATACATTTGGGAAACGTTGGTTAAACCAAGTTAACTCAATTTTTTATTGCTCAACTTCTCAGAGCCTTTAATAGGATGCTGATGTGCTTGTGGGCCTTTGACCGCGGAATCCATTTTTGAGCACGTCACCTATAATTAGTGTCCCCAGAGCACAAATTTGGGAAACACGAGCACTTTGTCATCTCAGATTTCTTAAAAGGTTCATGTCCATTTCTTTGAGGGTCTTTTCTATTAGGCATTAAAGCAAAATATATCCAGGAATCCCACCCCGAGACAAACCACAGATAGACAGTTCATAAGTTTTCTATGTACATTCTGCCCACCTCTTCACCGATACAGAATCACCAAGACATGAGTGCTCACCTGGCTATTATAATGTTAGAGTGTCTGAATTGTGGGTACTCCACCTTTCCCCACTTGGGATGATTTCACTCTCTAATTGGGTAGTTGACACACCCATGATATCAGGTACGTTAATTAATCAAAATGTTAATTTTCTTATGTCACCTGTCTTCCAAAAGGTATAATGAGTTAAAACCATCTTTTCAATCATTTCCAGAAAGAAAGAGGCCCCAAAGCCATTTTCATTTAGCTTTTAGCTTTTTCAGGCAAACCCGAACCCCATCCATCCCAATAAGACATTCTGTTTCCATTTACAATCTCTGGAGTGGTGAGTATCAAAATCTTTTTTGTTTACATGTCCTCATTTCTTCACATCCTTACGGACAGCCGGACGTTTCTGCCCTTAAGGCAGTATGGTGTAGTGACCAAGAGCTGGGGCGCTAGGGTCAACTTGGGGTCAAGTTCCAGCTCTTCCACGACTAGGTATGCGGGCTTGTGCAAGTTTGTGCAACTTAAGCCTCGGTTATCCTCAGGTGTGCAAGGGGAATAGTAACAATATCTGCCTCCTGAGTCATTGAAAGGCTTTAAAGAGACAATACATGTAAAGCGTTCAACATAGTAGTAGTATAAGCTTAGCTCTCTCCGTATACTGTTGGCCCTCCATGTAGACTATGTTTACCATCTGCAGTTGTATATACTACGTTTATGATCCGCGGTTGCTTGAATCCGCAGATGAGGAACCCAAGGATACTGAACGCCGACTAAGGGCCTTGAGCATCTGAGGATTTTGGTATCTGTGGGGGGTCCTGGAACCAATCCCTGAGGGATACTGAGGGACAGCTGTACTGTAGGTCAGTTGCTCACAGTGACTCACTGCCGCGCACCTTTGAACTGTCTTGAGTTCTCTCTCTTTCTTACCCAACCAACTCAGAGAAATAAATTTGGTTCCTCTAGCATCTCCTCACTACGAGGTCGTCCAAGCTTTCAGCCATTTCAGCTGCTCTTTTCTGAACTACCTTCAAGTTTCACCAGCTCTCTTCAGTTTTAGGATTTCTTGGCTAAGCTCAGTCCTCTGAAAAATGCCTGCTTGGAGAAACAGAACCATTTGTGACTTCGAAATTATATCAAACTGTTCTCTGAAAAGGTTTGTGAAGCCTTCAGCCTGTCCATGATCAGTGGGAGTGGACTATTATTAGCATCCAGTTCCGTACGGATCTTCTTGGATTCCGTTCTGATTTTGGAGGGGGGAAAATTACAGGATGTTTTTTGTGACAGGGCTAAGATTGCAGAAGGGTTGTAATGGTTAGTAATGATGTTCTGTCCTCCGTTTGGCACTGGCAAAGAGTTGAGTTGTTTTACTTTTTCATTTTTTTTAGTAGAGGGGATAAATTAGGCCAGGAAGCTAAAAAAAAGTTCTAGATTTAAAAGAACTTAGAGATCCAGCATTCTTTCTGCTATATATGGTTTTTCTATCTCATTGTACTCTAGCAAGAGAATTACAGTGGAAAATACCTTCACTAGGCAGAATGTAACTCCCGGAAACCGTGATTTAAAAAAATTAGAAATGTATATTTCAGGAGAAAACAGCAAACAACATCAAGCTAGCTGATCTTAGCTGAACTACTAGCATATGTCCTAGGATAAGCCAAGACTGCCCGACATTTTATTCCTTGTACATATAACATTGTACTAGAATTTAATCTTCATGGAAGAAGAGATTTTTTTATCTGTTTTATTCTCTGTTATACCCTCAGCCTCTAGAAGAGTACCTGGCACGTAGTAGGCATTCAGTCAATATTTGTCAAATAGATTGATGAATGAACAAAAACAATATGTTTGGTACCAGAAAAATGCGAAGTGATAGTTCAGAGATATGAAGCAGAGGCCCTGTAAGGTCTAAAATGACCAACAGTTATATCAGTTAGGTCAGAATGGATCTGTGCCTCTTAAAGCAGAGCAGTTGCCTGGTAAAGCATTTAGAAAGACGCTGACCAAGTACTGACATTTTAAAAAAAACATTAATCAGAAATATTTCATCATAGTGGTCTAGCAATTTCACTTAATTGAGGCTTCACTTTTCATCATCAAGGTGCAGACACTGAGATTATGAATTATTGTGATCAGTGCAAACCTTGCATTTCATAATAAAACTTTATGAAAGTCCCTCCCTCAGCTAGCATTCACAGATGCTCTGATGAACTTTGATGGTCCCTTGTTTCGTCATTGAGAGGAAGCCACCCCAACTTAACCTCCATATTAATTTTCTTGCACTTAATTGACACTAGCTGACACAATTGGCACAGAAGGTCTTGTGTGAACCTTTCAGACATGTAGAAGATTAGAAGCAGGTAAGAGAAGATAGAGACTGGTTGTTAAGGTGTATATTGTGGTTGCAACCTCATGGGAGGTAATTGGGCACTTCATAAGGCAAATTGTAGCAATACTTGCATCTGTAATTTGTACTATCATGGTACAAATTTTATCATTAACCCTTGGTTACTTTTCAAGATTAAAAATAATAGGCAGTTGCTTCAGGAGGTTTTGTAAGCAATGCTAATGCATTTTCATATCATTCAGTACGAAGAGAGTACATCATACATTAAATTCCTGACACTGGTAATTTGAGGTGCCTTCCCTCCTTTCTGTTTTTTTTCTTTATTTTCTTTATTTTTTGAGATGGTGGCAAGAGCTATATGGGATGTGTGAGTGCCATTCCATTATTTGAAAGTGTAAACATGATGTCATCTGGCCTCCCCAGCCTGTGGAATTTCCTGTGGCCACACTACATCTTCTCAAATAGTAATTTAGCACCTTCCTCAAATTGTCCCTATTTATTTTGGGGACTTCCCAAAGAGCTGCTTCACTTTCGCCCACAGACCTGTTTGTCCGACACAGCTGCCACATGGCGACTACCTTGTCCTTCTACTGGCTGTACTTACTCATGCCTTTGCCTGTTTGCCATTTGATTTACTACTGCTGCCAACTGCCACTGTCTGTCGGTGTTCACGCCAAAGGAGCCATATTCTTGGTGTGTGTGGTGCTGTTGGGTTTCATGCAAAGGAGGGAAAGCCCTCTCTCTAATTCCCTGCTTCTCTTGGTCACACGGGTCCTTAAGCAGATCTGATGGCATCCAGAGTCCTTCCTGCTCTTCCAGCTTCTGGCCTTTACTCTCACTCAGAATCTTACAAATTTTCCCATGACAGTAATTCTGTCAGTACCTGGCACTCATTCCTTGGCCAGAGTCTCAAACATTCTCTTGGAAACATTCCCTAAGTTTCCAATTGCCACCCTCTACCACCTCAGTTTGGACTAAGGCATCGGTTGGGGCAAAGATGCCACAATCCCCATCTCTCCCTCTCTTTTGGTGCTCTCTCCAACCAAACTCAGTCACAAAACAGAAGCTCCATGGACATCACCGGGCACATAAGAATTTAATGTGAGTGTGATGGGAGCGCCGTGTGATGACAGCGTGTACGTGCAAGTTAGCAGTCAGTTAGCCAACTGCTCTCTTACAAAAGGAAACTTTTTTATCCTGTTTCTACAGTGATGAAACAAAACTAACAACCTTGGGTTCCACTTATAATGCAATTTCCTTCCATGCATCAGTCAGGTGGGAGCTGCCCATGAGCCCTTCCAGAGCCTGGGGGTCAGTCAGCCCTTTGTTGAATATGAAAGGGCCTTCCGGACCAGTATCTGTGTTGTTTGGATGCTTCATGACTGGTAGCATCCCTTTTCCTCTCCCCCAGAGCCATGAAGAACATGCAATCTAAGCCACTCACTCCTGCTCCGAGACTTCTCGGGGTTCACAGCTGACGCTGCATCCCAGACTGCTCAGCCTGCGCCAAAGGGAGGGTCTTTTTATCTGTTTTCTCTCTTCCACTCCTTTGTTTACTCAGCCGCAACTGTATCTTCTTGTTATCCCCACTGGGGATTCTTTGACTTCTCTTCCTTGTGTTTACCTGATGTTAGCTGTCTGAAATCCAGACACCTTTTAAGAAAGAAAAGTACTGAGCAGTAATATGATTTAAAGAACCAGTGGCTAGGACACACCAATATTGAAAGGAGCAAACAGATAGGTTTCTGAATTCCCAAATGAGATTTCTATACATAGAAATGTCTAGGACTCAACATTTAAAAATCATGATCATATTCTAGATAATGACCAAATAAAATTAATTATGAGGTTTGTCTCCTTTGGAAAAAAGCCTTGAACTAATTTAATTCATGGATATGAGGATACTGTACAAGTTGATATCGATTTACCAATTCAAATAATATGACAGCCCAAGAGGGAATAAATCCATTTACATTGAACTTGGTTTTGTTGCCCAGATATTAAGGGCCCTTGGCCACTTTGCTTCTAGGATAATGTAATGTGGAAAAAAAGAAAAGAAATATCTAGTTAAATTTCCTAGATCTATTTCCCAAGATAAAGCCAGTACCATACGTTAACTGTTAATATTCTATGCAACTAGCAATTCAATTTTTCCACAATTTGTTAATCTCCTCTACTAAACATCAAAAATGCAAAATTGGAAAAATTTGAGGAGGGATGTTAAAAGGATATTTTAAAATAATTATAAGTGTTATAGTAGATTAAAATTATATAGTTTTATATAAGGTATGAAAAGGCATATAGTTACAAGTGTTGTAAGTCACAATAACAAGTATCATTCATTTAGCCTTACTATGTACCCCATACTTGCCAGAACTTTACCTACGTTAACTCATTTAATCTCTACATTAGTTTTAATTCTCATTTTACTGAAGAAGCTAATGCTCAATGATACTAAGGAACTCGCCAAAGCTAGTACAGTCTGTTAGTGGCAGGCCTAGGATTTGAACCTGCACATGGCTGACCCCAGAGGTTATGAGCTTAACTCCTGTGCTATGAGACAGGAAGAAGGAGCCACTAAAAAAAAAAAAAAGATTATATCCCAGGTATGCCAAGTGTATATAAATTATTTTTTCTACCCCTTCATAAATTGTTGCGTTTATTCAAATTAGCTAAGAGTCTGAAAAAGTAAATGCTGGAGAAGATGAGGAACTAACAGCAAGAGGGTCTGTTGTATGCTAAGACCAGCGGGCGGAGGACACCAGTGAGCAATCAACTTAGAACCCAGAAGAAGCAGAAGTCTGAGGCAGTCAGGAATCAGTGCAAGAGGGTGAGGAGAGCAGAAAGATACTCCAGCAGGACAGTCATGCACAAGATCAGGGGAGAGAGAGATGGGCTGCCGAAGATGAGAGGGTACCAGAAGTACACAAAGCAGAAGCATGTCCCAAGGAAGCCGGATTGTGGCCGTTCCTGTCCCTGCTTCTACACTTTCGAAGAGTTCCCCATGTCAGCAGCCAGTTCAGCAGAGCTGGCCTAGTGTTCTGGCATTAGAGTGGGGGCAGGCAGTTCGAGAGGCACTAAGCTGAGGCAGATGGAAGATGCACAGCATCTATGCGTGAGAAAACCCCGGCTAAAGGCTACATTTCAAAGACACCGGTAGACAAGTCCCAGGAAGGATGGCTTTCAGGGGGCTTTGCTTCTTCAACCCCGATGCTCACTGCTTCGAACAAAGCTCTCCTAGACTGTGCCCATGTGCCTCCCATATGCAAAAACCAGTTCTCAGAGACAGTTCAATCTGAACCCACAAAGAAGACAGCTTCCCAGTACATTGTAAGTTACAGGGCCCCTCTCACTCACTGAATTCAGTGAGTCACAAATTATTCAGAGCCATGTACACACCACGGGCTAACCCTCATCTGTTCCCATCTTGCAGGAGATGCTCTAAGGGCCAGTTCTCCCCTGAGAATGTAGTACTGGAAAGTGCATGTTTCCTTCTGCATGTGGCTTGACCAGCAGGGAGTACGATGAGTGTGCTACTTCCCCGAACTGCATCTGAGCTTTTACTACTTGTCATTTAAATTGGATTAACATTGCAAGCTGCCATATCACACTTGTATTGAGTTTGTGGCCACTGAAAATTGCTAGATCTTTTTCACTTAAAGGGCAGCTATCAAGCCAGATATTCATCCCATACTTAAGAAAATCCAGTTAAAACTAACTTTTACATGGGTCTTTGCCTATATTCCTATTAATTTCTTTGTGGTTTTAGTGGCCCAACATTCCAAATTGCTAGGATAAGGTTGAATTCCAGCCTGCTGATTATGTCATTGACATCAACAGTGTCAACTCTTCAGGCTCTGTGATATCTGCAGATATGACAAATTGCCTTCTATGTCTTTGGTGAATTAGAAAATTTTTAATCAAAGTCAGCAAATATTTATTGAGCACACAGTCTGAAATCACCACTCTTCTAAATGTGGGAATGAATATGTATTGATGATGTATGGATGAACTAGACATAACCAGGTACATGGGGACACAGGAATGAATATGGCTAAGTACGGTGTGATATGGGTAAAGTCCTACGAAAGCACAGAAAATTCAGCAACTTACTGAATTGCTTTAGTAGTTGTCTCAGTTTCTTAAATACATAATTTTCACTAAACCTCTCTGTTTTCAAATTTCCACTTGGTTGTGTGGTATCAACGCAACCTGAAGCTAGGTCTGCCGAGAGCAGCTGGACTGAGCGATCGACAGAGGACCTCATGCCACATGTGCTGATCACAGTAGAACCTGTGAATTCGATTTTATTAAGAATGTTGATGGACATGACCAATGCATTAGAAATATACAAATATCTCACCACACCAGCGCTTTCTGTGATTTTCACTCTAAGACTACAACAGTGTGAAAGACAGTGCACAAGTGTCATCTAGCATTGTGCTGCCTCTTCCAGAACACAAAGATAACAAGGAAGCAGCAGGGAACAGAGGAGCCTCCATCTGCAAGGATGAATGTGATAATGGTGGGGAGGCTCCTGCCTGCTTTACGTCCTCAGTCCTCATAACGGTTCAGATGGATCGCATCTCTGGATTTCTGCATCTTGTAGCCAGCCACGAGGCATGGCCACACACTTTTGGGTAGCTGAAGCTAAAGCAATTATTTAGGTGGTTGACTAATTGTGCCTTTATGTTGCCTTCTGGATAGAAGGAGGAAGAAGAGGAGGAGGAAGGAACCTTTATGCCCATTGTTTTTTACTAGGCTGCCAAATTTACATTGGCTTTGTTCACATTTAGTGATGTGGGTCTTAGCGAGAACAAGAAATTACCCACTCAGGTGTGGGGGCTCTTGGTATTTTATACCGAAAACAATGACTCAGACGTGAATATAAGTGAAAAGGGGGAGACTTCTTTCACAGCCTCTAGCCCCCATTCAGAGTCTTCTTCTCTCTCTTGACACCCTCTGCCCCAGGAGAGCCTTACGCAGCCCTCTGGGCTGTCCATGGCCCCTGGGCCTGAGGTAGGCGCCTAACTACGCCTTCCCCAGGCAGGATCCCAAGCTTAGACCTTCCTCAAACCTGGGCTGTGTGTAAGGGTGGTGCTCCCTCAGCCAGGAAGCACGCCAGGACCAGCAGCCCAAAGATTTTCAATTAATTTCCTATTTGTTTTGCTTTTTATTTCCTTCCCTCCCTCTCCTTCTTCCTTCCTAAATCATTCAAGTGTTTTATTACGAAAGTTCAAAACTCTGTTCTTGGCCAATGCAAGTATGAAATAAAATTCCTGAAAGATATAATAAAGATGAAATAAACTGTTAATAGAGAGTCAATGGAGCGAATGGAGTCATGGAGTTGAGAAATGGCGCTGGAACAATTGGACATTCATATGCGAAAAAAAAAAGAACCTTGATGATACCTTGGACCATATACAAAAATGAACCCAAAATGTATCATAGACCTAAATGTACAATGTAAAACTGTAAAAGTTCTAGAATAAAACATTGGAAAAAATCTTTGTGCCCTTGGGGTAGTCAATTTCTTAGATGTGATATAAAAGCACAGGCCAGAAAACAAAGTGATAAATTGGACTTTATCACAATTAAAAGCTTCTTCTCTTTGAAAGACACTGTTAAGAAAATAGAAAGACTGGCTACAGACTCAGAGAAAATATTTTCAGAAGAACCCATGTTTAATCAAGGATTTGTGGGTACAGTATATAAAGAACTTTCAAAATTCAGCAGTAAGGAAAAAAAAACAACTTAGTAAAAAAATGGGCAAAAGATTTGAAGACCTTTCATCAAAGAAGATATACCGATGGCAAATAATCACATGAAAAGGTGCTCAACATTATTAGTGATTAGGGAAATGCAAATTAAAACCACAATGAGATACCACCTATGAGAATGGCTAAAATAAAGTGAAACTGACAATACCACATACTGGGCAAGTTACAAAGTAACGGAAATTCACATATTGTTGGTGGAAATGTAAAATGGTGTAGCATTTTGAAAAGCATGTTTCTTATAATATTAAACATATATTTATAACTCAGCATTACTTTTCTTAGGAATTTACCCTGCATGAATGAAAATCATATTCACACAAAAACTTATACCCTAATTTTACAGCAGCTCTATCCAAAATTGCCAGAAACTGAAAACAACCCAAGTGTCCTTAGAGGTAAATGGATAAACAAGCTCCAGTATATTCATACAGTGGAATACTACCCAGCAATGAAAAGGAATGAACTACTGATACAGGCAATGACTTGGATGAATCTCAAATACATTGTGTCAAGTGAAAGAAGCCAGATGCAAAAGGGATGTACTACATGAGTCTATTTATATGACATTTTGGAAAAGACAAAACTATAGTGACAGAGAACAGATTAGTGATTGCCAAGGGCTGGGGGATAGAGAAGAGAACTGACTACAAAGAGGCACTGGGGAATTGGGGGGTGGCAGAAATGTTTGTATCTTTATTGGGGTGATAGTTACATGGGTGTATACTTATATAAAAATTCATCAAGCTATATATTAAGATTTGTGCATTTTACTGAAGGAAAATTGTTTCTCAGTTAAAGCATTTAAAAAATGATGACAAAAAAAACCATTTTCAGACAAACGGAAACTAAGAGAATTCATTGCCAGAAGACCTGCACTAAGAAATGCTACTAGAAGAGAACTTGAATCTTCAAGAAGGAAACAAGAGTGCTGAAAATGGTGAATATGATGGTAAATGCAATAGACATGTATACGTTTCCTCAGTCTTCCCTTTATTTATCTTCAGGTGGGGGCAGGTAGAATACAAAATACCTGTGTTATGGAAGGGGAGAGTTCTGGGGAGGGGATTTTTAAGGAACAACAAGGGGGGCTGGCCCAGTGGTGTAGTGGTTAAGTTTGCATGCTCCACTTTGGTAGCCTGGGGTTCACCAGTTCGGATCCTGGGCATGGACCTACAAACTGCTCATCAAGCCATGCTGTGGTGGCATCCCACATAGAAGAACCAGAAGGACTTACAACTAGGATATACAACTATGTACTGGGGCTTTGGGGAGAGAAAAAAAAAGAGGAAGATTGGCAATAGATGTTAGCTCAGGGCCAATCTTCCTCACCAAAAAAAAAAAAAAAAAGCACACCTTAAAAACAAACAAGAAACAAGGGGGAAAGTCGCTGAATCCATTAAAGATTTCTAGCTCCTGAAAACTTAGTTCTAGCTTGATGCCATGGTACGGAGTTGATTCCAACTAGGTCTTCATGACACCAAGCAACCTGATGAATAAAACAAATTTGACTCAATTATTCCCAAACACTGCATGTTGGACATTTGGTGTCCACAACTGGCTTTTAGCAGATATTAAAAAATGCTTGTTAGGTAATTATAACTTCGACTTCTAATTCTAGCCTTGTAGGAATTATTCTACAAAAGGTAGAATTAGTAAATTGAGACCCATTAAGGGTAGGAAATGCCAAAGTCATGGGTCAAGAATTAAAGTGAAGTCAGTTTGATTCCAAATTCTGCTTAACTACTGACACTGCCCTGGTTTTAATCGTGACGGTGTTTTCTCATATGTGAATTGAAGATAATAATAGTACCTATCTCATGGCACTGTTATGAGGATTAAATGAGAAAATGCAAAGTACCCAGCATATAATAAGAATTCAATAAATGGAAGTGTGCCCTCCAAAACTACGATCGATCTGTAGTTAATACATCTCATCCCCAGCCAAGGACTCCAGGAAGGGGGAGGCTGTGGAACCCTCTCTTTTGTGGACAGATCAGTGCATTGCTCCATGACCAAAGATATAATCTTAACCCCAACAGTCTTCCAATCAACTTGCCAGCAGTAATCATGGACTTCTTAAAAGGAGTAATAGAAATGCTATCCTTGTAACCCGCTAAACTGCTTACTGAAAAATGGAGTGAATTTCAGATAATCCTCAGGCTGTCTCCTGGAGCTCTGAATTAGCAGTGGTTACCCGTGAGGCTTACCCCAGCCACATTTTTGGACCAGAATCTGCTCTAAAGCAAAGAGTTATCTGATAGTAGTTTGGATTAAATTTGGATTAAAAGATTGACTTGGATTCTCCTAACATCTACTGAGCTTGTCTTGTTTGCTGGACATCGTGCTAGACACTGTTGCATATATATTTATTTTAATTTGCTCCGATAAGAATACTCTTTAACGCATCTGCTGCGTTTCCCACAGATGGTTGCCTCAGTGTTTCAAAACTTAGGAAAAACCTGAGAAGTATTTGTGAGGCTCTTATGATCATTTTTCTAAGATCTGAAATCTTTCCTTTTAGGCAAATAATATTCAAACAATTGAAAATAGTGTCTCTTATTTGGACATTACATTTTTCTTCTAGTATCTCAGAGATTAATCACCTTCGTCCTAAAACTAGTGATTGTGAAGCTTTTTTGGCAAGATGGCTCAAATTCCATTATAAACATAGGCATTCTGTTTTCACCCTACCATGTTCAAGGTAGAAAAATTTTACGTGTTTGTGTACAAAGTTAACGAAACAATAAATAATTCCAAAATTCATAGAGGGTACTGTAAGTTGTATACTAGCTTTGGGGGGAATCTATTTACAACTCTTCTGATAGTTGGTTTCTCCCTTCTACAATTTGCCACAGTTTAAATCATCCAATTTCAGGCCTGATGGGTTATTCTGTGTCACTCGCTCTATCTTCCACATGGATGATCCTCATTCAGAAATGTGAAGGAAATCTTTATGTCCTCTTACTTCGCTCCCTTAGTTCCTTTTCCTTTCTTTATTTTCCTGCTTTCCCCACTGTCTTTCAACAACTTGTCTCCAAAAAAAAAAAAAAAACTGCTCCCACAAATAAAGTTTGGTGTCTTCTCAACCTTGTCTGTTTCAAACTGATTTCCTCTTGCCACCTCCTCAACCCCTTTCCCCCAGTGACATTTCTGTTTCCTTTGGGGTCTCAAGAGACAATTCTTCCCTTCCTCAATACCACCAGGACAAGGAGATCAGTTCATGATGTCTTTCACAGACATGATCTCCTAGCGAGAGCTCTGGAAGAAGGCATTGTTATCTCCATTTTACAGGACAAGTGTTAGAAAACATAAGCAATTTGCCCAAGTTCACAAAACCAGCAAATGCAGAGCTAAGACTTATACTCAGGTCTTTCTCACCACAACATTCATGCTATTTCACTATGTCATCCTACTCTCTCCACATACAAGATCAAACTCAAAATTCATCAGTCTAGCACTCATAGATTTCCTTGATCAGGATCCCATTTTATACAACTAGTTTTATATCAGCCCCCAGCTCCATCCAGGCTAGCCGTCATACAGCTCTCCTGATCTTGTAAGGTAAGCTCCGCCCACTGGCCTGGAATACTCTTCTCTTCCCCCGTCTTACGCTGACCCAGTGTTTACGGCTCAGCATGTTCATCTTCCATAGGACCTTCCCGAATCCTCCAGTTCCAGTTCTTCTCCTCCTAAACACTTGAGGAGTTTGGAAGATAGTGTTCCTTGTCGCTCCTCCACTACACCAATCCAGCTGCCTCTCCTCCTGAGATGAGTGGTTCCTGCAGCTGGCAGGCAGCCTGAGCCTGGAGGATGAGAGAATGCCCTTGGTCTGAGCGGGGCTGGACGGAGATATCTGGCAGCTGGCACAAAACATCTGCCCTCTAGTCTGAGTCACAGCCTGGAGACCAGCTGGGAGTAGAATATATTTTACTCTGTAGAACAAAAAACAGTTTAAAGATAACATGGTAGGAACAGTGGAGAAGTAAAGGCATTCAGAAGCCTCATTTATTGGTGAGAATAGTGGGAAAAGAGTGATTTGGTTAGGAAGAAATAGTATGTGGATTTCATATGACAGTCTGGAAGCTTGTGTGTGGTGAGAAAAAGAAGGGAACTACCAGTGGAATGGAAGAGTTCAGTAAAATTTCCAATTAACAAGGGGAAAACTGGGGAATGTAGAGTAATTGAACAAACCAGCAAAAAGTAAATTAGGAAAAAAGAGGAAACACAAAACAAGACGAAGTAAACATTAAGTAAGACAGCATGTAAAACAATTGTTATACTTAATATGAATGGGCTAAATTTTTCTGTTGAAAATCAGAGACTGGCAGGTTGGGTTAAATAACAAAACCCAGCAATATTTTGTTTATGTGTTTTCTAATGCTTAAAACAAAGCCATTTTTTTAAAAAAAAGACACCAAAATAAAGGAATGGACAAAGAGATATCACAAACAAAGAGAAAACAGCAAACAGCAATTAATATTAACACCAGATAAGGCAGAATTTAAGCTTAAAAGCACCAATGATGCTAAAGGTGGAGATTATATAATGATAAAAAGTACAATTTATACAAAAGATAGACCAGTCATAACCTCATATGTGTTAGATAATATAGCAGT